TGCTTCCTTCCCCTCAGCACGGGATTTATACACATAAGTAGCCATAGTTGGCTCTTTATGTGGACTTGGGGGTTTTGAACTCAGGCCCTCGTCATCACACTTGCACAGCAAATATCCTTAGCTGCTGAGCCATCTTCCTAGTCTAGTTTTTTGATTTTTGAGACAAGAGTTTTCCTAACTAGCTCAGGTTGTCCTTGAACTTGTGCACCTGCCTCCGTGGTGCTGGAATTACAAGCCAGAGCTACCACGCTTGGCTTTGATCAGGATAGTTGCTTGTTCATTTATGGTAAGACATAACAAATCTAGAACTCTGCACAGGCTAAGCAAGACTTGACCACTGAACTGCATCCTCCCTAACCCCGTCACCACTATTTTGAGATGAGGTCTCATTACATTGCCCAGGCTACATCTAGATTACTGTCGAGCTCCTGAGATGAAGCACTCTTCCTACCTCAACCTTCCAAATAACTACTACAGGCATGGGCCATCACACCTGGGTGGCTTCATTCTTTTTATCACTACTGTTGTTATTTGTTTATCAGGGGAAAACTTTTGGAAGAAAGAGTATGTGTGCCTAGATCTGAAAAACATCAGAAAGAAGCCAGTGGTGAGGGATGTTTTTAATCCTAGTATTTGGAAGGCAGAAGTAGATCTCTGAGTTTGAGGCCAGCCCGGTCTATAATAACCCCAAGCCAGCCAAGGTTATACACTGAGACTGTGTCTCAAAAAAACAAAAAACAAAAGCCAGACATGGTGAACACACCTCTACTCCCAACACTTGGGAGGCAAAGGTAGATGGATCCCTGAATTTAAGGCCAGCCTGGTCTATAGAGTGAGTTCCAGGACAGCCAGGGTTACACAGAGAAACCATGTCTTGAGAAACAAAACAAAACAAAAGGCACACATGTCAGAACGGTAATAAGAAAAGAACACAGTATGTCTCCAGACAGAGGTTCTATTCTGATCATGCACTTGCATGATGAAAAGCTTCTAAGCTTAGATCGCTAAGCTTAGGCTGAAAACCTAGCAACGAAGCTGGGTGTAATGGTTCCTGCCTGTAATTTTAATAATCCCAGCACTTGGGAGACCTAAGGCAAAAGACAATCATGAGTTTGAGGCTAGCTTGGGCTACACAAAGTCTGAGGCCTATGAAGGGGATATAGCTCAATAATAGAGTACTTGCTTAGCATGTCTGAGTACTGAAGTGGGGGAAAAAGAACAGGAAGTCCGAGGATAGCCTGAAATACAGAGTGAGACCTTGTCAGAAACAAACACACAAACAAACCTAGCAACGGTCAAATTTATTTGATCCCAGAGTCTAATGATCTTGGTCAGTATGCTAGACATAAATCTGAAAAATATTAAAAAGAGAAGCCTTTAATCCCAGCTCTTGGGAGGCAGAGGCAGGTAGCTCTCTGAGTTTGAAGTCAGCTTGGCCTACATACTGAGCTCTAAGCCAATCAAGGTAATACAGTAAAAAAGGAAAATTTATCTCTCTTTTATTTTATGTATGTTTGTGCAGGTGCCACAAAAACTAGAAGAGAGCATCAGATCCCCGGGAGCTGGAGTTAAAATTGGTTATGAGCCACCCAGTGTGGGTGCCGGGAACTGAACCCTGGTCCTCTGGAAGAGCAGCAAGAAAGCTGTTCCCAGACCCTCTGTGGGCTTTTTAAACTTAAAATATACACCCTAGGGGCTGGTGAGACGGCTCGGGCATAAAGTGCTTGCCATGCAATTATGAGAACCTAAGTTTCATCATCCCCAGCACCCAAGCAAAGAAGGTAGGCACAAATATGCAGGCTTGTCATGCCAGCACTCCAGCACCTGCAAGGCAGAGGCAGGAGGGTCCCTGGGGCACGGTGCCTAGTATCTAGGTGAATCAGTGAGTATCACATGTAGTGAGAAATACTGTCTCAATAAAGCAGACATCAATCTCCATACATACATATGCATGCACACCTGCACACAAAACATGTACACACAAATAAAAATACATAGGATGGCAGCTAATCTGTCTGTTCTTGAGAAATGACTTATAAACAAGTTATTTTTAAATTTTATAGTCGGATTGAATCCCGCCTCTCTTATTTCCAGCTGGGTGGTCTCATCCCCAGACTTGCCCTTCTTCTTACCCAGCATCCCTTGGCTCACATGCCAGGACAGGTGTTAGTAATTTTAACTCTATGGTTCTATTAAGAGACCTTCATTAATCCCTACAACATTTGGAAAACTAATTAGTGAATATAGAATCTGTAATAGCACTGGGACATCTAAAATGAGGGCAGACACAGTAATTCCTCCTGTTTCAAAGTTTCTCTCCACACAGCCATGGAAGGAGCGATCCCTGAGGAAACAGAGCTAAGCTGTTTCTGCAGAACTAGGCTGTGAGAGAGTGACGAGGGCTGGAGAGACAGCTTTAGTGGGTAGGAGCACTGGCTGCTCTTCTAGTGGAGCCAGGTTCTATTCCCAGCACCCACTTGCTGGCTCACAGTATGTAACTCCAGTCCCAGGGGATCTGATGCCTTTTTCTGAAATCTTCAGGCACATGTATGAAGCACATACATACATTTGGGAAAAACATTCATACACATAAAATGATAATTCTAAAACACAAAAAATTCTAAGTAAGAGTATGAAGAACCATCATCTAAAGCTTTCTTTTCTTTCTGACAAATTCTAAGTAGCCCTGGCTATCCTGGAACTCTATGTAGACCACACTAGCTTCAAACTCACAGCTACCCACTGCCTCTGCCTCCTGAGTGCAGGGATTAAAGGTGTGCAACCCAAACTCTGCCTAAAGCTTGGTTTGTTTTTTTTTTTTTTGGAGGGGGGGGATCTTGTTTTTCTTTTTGCAGTACTAAGGACTGAGCAGAGGTTACATCCCCAGGCCCTGGCTTTGTAAAGCTAGAATCTCACTATGTAAGGGCTAGAGAGGGCTCAGAGGTTGAGAGTACACATTACTCTCTCAGAGGACTTAGGGTTTGGGTTTCTAGGTGGCTCACAATCATTCATAAGAAACCCAATGCCTTCTCAGACTGCTGCTAGGACCAGGCATTCATGAGGTACAAATACATATACGTATGTGCACTCAGGAGGCAAAGGCAGGTGGATCTCTGAGTTCAAGGCCAGCCTGATCTACATAGTGAATTCCAGGGCAGACAAAGCTACAGAGTGATACCCTATGGGGGGGCGGGGGGAGAATGCCCTAAAAACTTGTCTATGAGGCATTTTCTCAATTGAGATTCCCTCCCTTCAGATGACCTTATCTTCTGTCAAGCTGACATGAAACCAGACAGAACACTCACACACACAAATAAATTTTTAAAAACATCAAAAAGGAAAAAAGACTACCGCTATGTACCCCAGGCTGGCTTCAACTCAAACTCTACTCCCCTGTGCTGGTATCCCAGGCATGAAGCATATCTGAGTCCCCATGCAATGTGGGGAGAGGGACAAAACGTGTCACTCCAGCAGCCTGGTACGGGTTGGAAACCATAGCGTTGCCCAGGCTAGGCTTGGTTTTGTAGCCATGCTCCTGTATCAGCCTCCAGTGCTGGCATTAAGACCATAATCCTCTCTTGTATCCAGTCCATCACCAAATCCTATGTCATTTCCTTCCCAGCTGTCCGAGATACTGTTAAACTGTCTTCAGTCTCATCTCCAGCTTGGTTCTCACTGGCATGGAAGATCAGAACTACTGTGCATTCCCACATCGTGGTCTCCAGTAAACCTCTCCTCATCTCTCCAATCTCAACACCATTAAGGCTGAAGGAATGAACCATCTCCTCCCCCACATTCCGCACCCTGGAGGGGAGACAAAACTTTCGCTGCTTTCCTATTAATTTTAAAGTTAACGCTACAAATTCCTGCAAATCTTCATGACTTCCAGGTTCATCTCATACCATACCCCCTTCAAGCTTTCTCTCAGCACATTGGCTCTTTGTGATTCTTAGTCATTTTCCCAAATGATAGGGCACCACCGCACAGGCTGTTCTGTGCAGAACGTCCTGCCTTCCTCTCTTCCCGTTTAGAAATGTCCCATCAGAGAGCAACAGCTCGGACATCTTTTCCTCTGAGAACCCTTCAGCCTTATTAGTTACTCATAACTAATCGCTCTCTTAAGTCTTCCAATCAGCTGGTGAAATTTGTTTAACATGTTTGCCACACACACCCCAAGAGACCCTAAAGTCCCGAGGTTCGGGACCATGTTTCTTCAGTGTCTCCTCAACGATCTGCACAATAAATATCACTGTACCACTTACGAGAAGGCCCGATACACAAGCATGAATCTTAGATTTCTCAACAAAATTGTACTTTGGAGGAGCCATCGGATATTTCCTCCACCGCTTTCTGTTTAATTCAGCCCTTAAAAAAGAAGGCTGAACCGGTGATATAAACTAAGTCCGCCTCCTCAACCAAACCCGGCACTGAAGCAGGGAGGCCGGGAGTCGGGCATCAGTCCCGGGGAACGCTAGCACAGCCCTGGACGCAAAAGCGGCGTTGTCCAGAGCAGCTGTCAAGGGACAGCGGCCTTAGGGTTCGAGTCCGGCGGCCAGAGATCCTAAAGCTCCGCTCTAGCCTGCCAAGGGACTACTCTTTCCGGGGACCCACCCCCACCCCCATGGCAAGGCCGTCAGCTGAGAAGGACAGGCTCAGGCCTAGCACCTAGTCGCAGTTTCCACACTGGAACAGCCACCCGCCTCGTTCCCCACACACTCACTCCGCGCCGGCTCCTAGCCCGGGAGCCGCAGCATCGCCAGGAGTGCCGAACCTGCTCAGCGCGTTCCCAACCCACAATGCACGGCGCGCCTAGGAGGGACTCCAGCTCCGCGCTCCAATCCCAGAGTCGAGCCCTCGTGGCGTCACCATGAAGGGACCAATCGCAAGAGCGTATTCAGAGGGCGTTGCAGAAGGAAATAATGGAAGCCGATTGGTTGTTCCTCCCCGGAAGTTCTGGAGGAAGAACTCAGTTGGAACCAATCGCCCGGTGCCTGCGACCGGCGGCGCGGTCAGTGGCGGCTCCGAGGATAGTGGTTACCGCCATGATCGAGCAGCCGAAGCGCAAAGGCCCGGAGCTACCACTGGTTCCTGTCAAGCGGCCGCGGCATGAGTTGCTGTTGGGAGCGGCGGGGTCCGGCCCCGGAGCCGGACAGCAGCAGGCGACTCCGGGAGCTTTGCTACAAGCGGTAAGTGGGAGGCATCCCGACTTGGCCCTCCACTCCTCTCGCCACGGACCGTACCGGCGCAGCGGGAACGGAAAGACATTGAACCTGATGTCCAAGCAGGATTGTAAAGTTGCTCTGTGTTCTGCGTCTGTTTCATATGTGTTTCCTTGTTGGACGCCTGTTTTCAGCCTTTCAGTCACCCTGTGAAGTAGCACTAAACCATTTTAAACACTTGTCCTCAAAATCAAGATCCAAACTTCCGCATCCTAAATCTTCAGGGATTCAGCATCAAATAAACATTCAGAAAAGTTTGCAGAATGGGTGAATGAAACATTCAGAAAAGTTTGGAAAATGGATAGATAAGTGAGTGAGTGAATGAGTGCGTGAGTGAGTGAGAGGGGAAGCAAGGGAAATGAATGAGACAGGCTCGCTTTGCTACCTGGTACAATTTACTTTTCTCTTTCTCTGAATTTGCATTACTAACAGTAATTAACATCCGTTGGCTCTTTTTTGGTTGTTTGTTTGTTTGTTTGAGACAGGGTTTCTCTGTAGCTTTGCAACCTGTCCTGGAACTAGCTCTTGTAGACCAGGCTGGCCTCGAACTCTCAGAGATCCACCTGCCTCTGCCTCTCGAGTGCTGGGATTAAAGGTGTGCGCCACCACCGCCCAGCCATCCGTTGACTCTTGTGTTAGATGTTTTGCATGTGAAATTTCCATTAATCTTGGTAACAGCCTAAAAGGAACTGTTATTTTGCAAATGGGGAAAACAGACTTCTTTGAGTTGGAACCTGTACTCCTAACGGCATGTCTTGTAAAAGAGTGATCATACTTCCCTATGAGGTTCAGAGAAGAAAATAAATGTGCCTCCTGCCGCAACTCTTTAAAGTCTGCTGGTGTGGTCCTTAAAATATATAAATAAAGTTAGTGGCGTGAGGCTGTAGTTGTATCTTCCCAGAAGGTTGACAAAATTTTGAGTGAAGGAATTGGAGGCCAGGCTGCAACTCTTGGCTGACAATCTTACTTGTCAAATAAGAGTAAGTGTACTACTAATAATCCTGAAATCTCCTTGGTAGATTCCAGTATACTAACTTAGTTTTTAAAATAGCAGGATGTTAACATAGCAAGATCCCCCTGTCTCCAAAGTAAATAAATAAAAAGTTGGACACATAAATTTATAATCACTCAAGCTGAGGCAGGAGGATCAAGGGTTTTAAACCAATATAGGCTATTATAGCAGAACTCTGTTGAAATTTTAAAAAAAAAAGAACTACGTAACCACAATCCTTACCTCCTAGTCAAACCATCTTTATGTCATCTGGCATCATTGCAGGTGGGGCTCAATTAGTGTTTCTGGTTTTGTCTTTGAATTAAGGATCAGTAATTAATCCAGTAGCCAGAGGAATCATCACAACATTAAATCACATGATTATCTGGTGAAAACATTCTGTTGGATTTCTGTTTAGTTCTGAAGTTAAAAAAAAATGTCAAATTCTCTGTAATAATTCCCCTCTTTACCATGCTCATCGACCAGTTTTCTAGCATGTCATGCTCAAGTAGCACCGACGTATGAGTCCTTACATTTTGTTGTTACTGTTGTGTTTGCTGGGGTGTTACTCCAAATGCCCACGTGGTTAACTGTTGGCTCTTTCAAGTTTTTGTTCAGATACCAGTTTCTCAGTGGGGCTTTCCTGGCCACTGTACTTTCAGTTGAAACACCCTGCTCTGGAACCCATATTACTTCTGTCCATTGCGCACAACGTGAGGTGTTTGACTTGTTTGTTTTGTTTCTCTTCCCTTCACTCTTTTTCCACTAGAATGCAAGGTCCATGGTTTTATTGAGTTCTCTTTCTCCGGTACCTAAACACATTAGATTTATTTTTATCTGTGTGTGTGTATCTGTATGCGCGTCTATCCCGTGCGTGTGGATTCCCTCATGGGCCAGAAGAGATTGTTGGATCCTCTGAACCTGGAGCTACAAGTCACGTGAAAACTGCTTACCGTGGGTGCTGGGAGCCGAACCCAGATTCTTTGGAAGAGCAGTAAGTGCTCTTAACCACTGAGCCATCTCTGTGGCCCACATGTACTATTTTTTGAATAAATATGCTGGATGAGTATGATTGTGGTACATTATTTGCATTTATGGATATTTCATAATGAAACCCATTACTTTGTATAGTTAATACATGATAATAAAAATAAGTTAGTATACTGGAATCTACCAACGAGATTTCAGGATTATTAGTAGTACACTTACTCTTATTTGACAAGTAAGGTTGTCAGCCCAGAGTTGGAAGAATTTCCAAACCTAGTTTTAGTGTCCAGAACGATAATCAGAAACTACTTTTCCAAAGCAAGCATAGCGATACACACTTTAATACCAGCACTCAGGAGGACTGAAAATTTAAGGCTAGCCTGGACTGTATATCAAAACCCTGCTCACACCCCAAAAATCTATTTTGTATAATAAGTTGTACCATGCAGGGTTTTTCAAAGGCTAGTTGGGTGAGCTGGAGTCTGGGAAATGTTCTTCCTGCACTCCCGGAGCTTCATTTCTTTGGGGAAAAAGAAGCATGTCAGCAATGGCACGAGGAAGGTAAGGTCAGGTAGTGATGGGGCTTTGGCGGAGTGCTGTGGGCCCGATGGAAGGCTGGAAGGCGGGGGAGGTGGCTGCTACTTGAGTGTGAGTGTTAAAGACAGACTTGCCGAGCGGTGGTGGCGCCCGCCTTTAATCCCAGCACTCGGGAGGCTGATCTCTGTAAATTCAAGGCCAGCCTGGTCTACAGAGTGAGTTCCAGGACGGCCAAGACTATAATGAGAAATTGTCTTGATAAACAACAACAAACAGACTCTGGGATGAGTATTTAAAAGGAGTCACTAGGAGGAGAGCTCTATGGGAGACATCTTTTCATGCCAAGATTCTGAGGCATAAATGAGGTCAAGCATGATTCAGCAGTCAACAGTTGACTGTGGAACAGAAGCAGAGTTAGGGAAGAGAGTAGTATGGTGGGCATACACTGGAATGTCCAAGGGATTTTATAGTGAGAGGTGGGAGTTCTGTGAGCAGAGGTGCCATTCCCTAACCCAAATGAAATGCGCTGCTCCAACTTTACAGCTTCCTTTGCCTGTGTACAGTGACGGATCACACTTGTCTTTGGTTTAGGGGCCTCCGAGGTGTTCGTCCCTGCAAGCCCCAATCATGCTGCTCTCGGGACACGAAGGAGAAGTGTACTGCTGCAAGTTTCACCCCAATGGATCCACCTTGGCATCGTCAGGATTTGACCGACTCATATGTAAGGCACAGCTTTTGACTCTGGAGTTACTGTTCTCTCTAAATAATGTTTTGTTGTTGTTGTTGTTGTTTTTAATTTTGGGTGCTATGTAAGGCATCAAGCATCAGTCTAAATATGCAAGTTAAATTATAGTGATAGCATGCTAAAACAGGTGTCAAAATATTGAGCAGTCATTCAGGTCAAGCCGTATGTAGGTCCATATGGTAAATAAGAAGAAACATGCTGCTAATTGGAAAGTAGATTGCTTTGGTTGGAGTTATATAGTCTCTCTCTTCTCCCTCCTCCATTACTCTCGTGTAGCCCCAGCTGTCCTCAAATTGGCTACGTAGTGAGAATAAATTTGGAACTTCTAATCCTCCTGCCTCCGCCTCCCAAGTGTTGGGATTACAGGCCTGAAAGTTAAGAGGAAAGAGAACTTCTCTACTCATAAAAACATGAGACCTTAATCCATACCCAGGATCCTAGTGTATGAGGGAGAAAGATTGGATCCTCAAGTGGTGACTCACTTAAATCATCTGCTACCAGGTTCTCAGCCACTCATTAGGAATGCCCATGTTTGAAAAAAACAAGTACAATCTGGAGAGATGGCTCACCAGTTAAGAACATTTGTTAGCAGGGAGTGGCCGTGCCTTTAGTCCCGGCACTCAGGACGCAGAGGTAGGTAGATCTTTGAATTTGAGGCCACCCTGGTCTACAGAGTGAGTTCCAGAACAGTCAGGGAACACAAAAACCGTGTCTTGGGGGAAAAAAAGGCGAAAAGAGCACTGCTGCTCTTCCAGAGGACCTGAGTTCAGTTCCCAGCCACATCAAGTGGCTCGTAACTCCTATAATACAGGTTCAGGGGATCCAGTGCTCTCTTCAGACCTCTGATGGTGTCTTAGCATGCACACTTCCAGACACATCAATAAATAATAAACCTTTTTAAAAAAAATAAATAGAAAAATGAAGCTGAGGTGATATAGCTCAATGATTCCTTTTTCAGGCTGTCTGCAGACTCTGAGCATATAAGAAAAAGTACTAACTTTTTAAAAATTAAACCTGAGGGTTTTGGAAAGATATTTCAGCAGTTAAGTGTAGTTATTGCTCTTGTAGAGGGCTCAAGTTCGGTTCCCAGTAACTACGTGGCAGCTCAAAGCCATCTCTAACTTCAAATCCCCAGGATCCAGCTCCCTCTTCTGGCCTTCATAGGCAGGCATGCATACGATGCATATACATATTTGTAGGCAAAACACTCAAACACATGAAATAAAAATAAACAAATCTTGTCTAATAAGTTAAGGCTGAGAAAACAAAGCTCAGTCAGTTAGGACCTGAGTTCAGTTTGCAGAACTCATACAGAGCAGGGTAGTAGAAAGCCAGGTAGCGTGGTTGTGCTTTCATCCTCGGCGGTAGACAGGTGTGGACCCCTGGGGCCCATCAGCTGGCCAGCCTAGTCTGCTAGGCAAGTTCCTGGGCGTGAAGAGAGTCTGTCTCAAAAGGGAAAAGGTAGATGATGCCTAATCAACAGCAGCCACAGTTGTCCTCGGCATTCCATACGTGTGCACTCATGCACATACATACCTGAGTGACCGCATGCACACAGCAATTTTAGCGTAGCGAGATTTGGTCTCATTGGTAGAGCCAGTGTTGTTCTATGGTCTTATAATTTCAGAAGTATTTTTCTGATTATTTTATATTAGCCATTCTCTGCCTGGTGATGGGTTTTTTTTTCCTCTTAACAGTATTGTGGAATGTCTATGGTGACTGTGATAACTATGCTACATTGAAGGGACACAGTGGCGCAGTGATGGAACTGCATTATAACACAGATGGCAGGTGAGTGTTCTGCATAATAGGTTGACGATGGCTTCCCATACTACTGCTTAATGTCTTTACCCTTCAGCCCTGAGTTTCATCTCTTGGGAGATCCAGTCAAAAACTGCTACGTTTTGGTGAGGCGTTTGGTGTACTCCCATAACATCAGCACTGAGGAAGCTGAGGTAGGAGGATCACAATTTTAAGGCCTTCATGGACAATGCAGTAGACCATTGAAAGCTCATCATCGTTTATCTTGTAATATGCCAGTACTCAGACCAGTGGGGTTTTTTGTTTTTATAAGACGTAAAGCCAATTTTGGGGGAGGGAGGGTGTTTGTTTTTTCAGACAGGGTGTGTGTGTGTGTGTGTGTGTGTGTGTGTGTGTAGCCCTGGCTGTCCTGGAAATATCACTGTAGACCAAGCTGGCCTCAAACTCATGGAGATCTACCTGCCTCTTCCTCCAAGTGCTAGGACTAAAGGCATTACACCACCACTGCCATAAGGCAAGTGTAATTTGAAATTGGCTCTTTAAAATTTTTATTGCAGGGATAGTAGCATGTGCCAGCTTTCAGGAGGCAAAGGCAGGCAGATCTCTAAGTTCAAGGCCAGCTGCTCTACATAGTGATTTCCAGGGCAGCCAGAGCTACATAGTAAGGTCCTGTCTCATTCCAAAAAAAAAAAAAAAAAGGAAGGAAGAAAGAAAGAAAAGAAAAAAAAATTTACCTGTTATTGTGTGTGCACGTGATGTTTCTGTGAGGGGTACGTGTGTAGGGGTCAGGACAGCTTTGTGGAGCTAGTTTTCCTTGTTTGCCTTTATATGGATTTTGGAGTCAGGCAAGTGCCTGTATTTGCTAAGAGATCTCACAGGAAAGTAATAAGCTATGTTAAAAACACAAACAAAAAAGGCAAGTAGATGGAAAAAGTACTCATATTTTTACCTCTCCAATTACTGTTTGTTATATGCTTTGCTAAAGTCCTTTTCTACCAAAATTGTTGAGTTTTAGCATATCCATAATGTAAACTAAGCTTACAATCTTGTCTACTGACTTTTTTTTTGCTTTAACCTACCAAATGTTATAAAAATTAATATTGTGTAATTTTAGGATATGTGTGTGTGTGTGTGTGTGTGCTACAGATATTTAGTTACACCAAGTCAATCTTATTGTTACATATTTTGATAGCTTTCTTTTTTATGGCACTGAAGATTGAACCAAGCTAATTTTCTTTTTTTCTTTAATTACATTTTAAATAGTGTATTATGACTACATGTGACACAGTTGTTGAGGTCAGCAGCCAGCTTTTGGGCGTCGGTTTTTTCTATATTGTGGGTCATCACCGAGCAGACTTGGCAGTGGACACCTTTACTCTCTGAGCAATCTCATCCTGCCATAATCGTTCCTTCTTTCTTCTTTTTCAAGATGTTTTATTGTCACTTGTTTATATCCCTGTATTCTAAGAAATACATTATAGTAATTGTATATGGTATCATTTTAGGGGTGAAGTGCCTGTGTGTGTGTCCATTTGAGGACAAAGAGGAACATCGGGTGTCTGCTTTAATCTGTATTTTAGTATCTTTTTTTTTTAATTTTTTTTTTTTTTTATTGAGAAAAGGAAAAAAAATTTTCAGCCTCCTCCCAGCCTCCCATGTCCCTCCCCCTCCTCCCACCCTGTATTTTAGTATCTTGAGACAAGGTCTCTCACTGAGTCTAGAGCTAGGCTGGTGAGCAGCAAACCCCAATGATCCTCCTGTCTCTGCCCCACCAAAGAGCTGGGGTTACAGGTATGCATGGACATATTCAGTGTTTTACATGGGGCTTTGAACTCTGGTTCTTGTAACAGATAAGCCATCTCCAAAGACCCTGTTTTGTTTTCTTTGAATCTTGGTAATTTATTCAGGCTGAGTTTGAATTTGCAGTCCTCCTGCCTCAGCTCCTGAATAATTGATATTATAGATATATGGCACTGCACCTGGCTTGTTTTACATTTCTGTTCTCAAATTTTAGTGTTTCATCATTAACATTTTAAATTAAGAAAGCATTACAAGGGACTGTAGGTAGATCAGACTGGGCTCAAACTGCCTCTGCCTCTGCCTCTGCCACCTGAGTCCTGGGATTAAAGGTGTGCACCACCATTGCCCAACAACCATAACAACTCTATAAAGGGAAACGTTTAATTGGGGCTGGCTTACAGTTCAGAGATTTAGTCCATTACTGTTGTGGTGGCCACAGGGGCAGACACGGTGCTGGAGAGGTGTCTGAGAGTTCTACATCTAGGTCAGCAGGCAGCAGAAAGAGAGAATGATCCTGAACCTGGTTTGAGCATATAAAACTTCAAAGCCCACCCCGTGACACACTTACTCCAACAAGGCCACGCCTCCTAATACTGCCATTCCTTATGAGCCTGTGGGAACCATTTTCATTCAAATCATCACAGAGCACTTGCTGATCTTACAGAGGACCCAGGTTCAGCTCCCAGTGTCCACATTCTGGCCAGTGGCTCTCAGTAACTTTGGCTGCAGAGCATCCAGTGCTCCCTCTTCTGCCCTCTGAACATCGCACATATATGACATGAACGTGTAAGCTCCACGCCTGTTTGCATAAAGTAGAATTTTTCTTCAGCATTATCATGGGCACTGTTGCACGTGCTCCAATCTCAGTTCTCGGGCAGTGATAGAGCAGGAGTATCTTGAGTTCAAGACCTGCTTGGTCTACATAACACCGCCCTGTATCAAAGGGAAAAGAGGGCATTATAAGATCAAGTTTAACTTAGAAATCATTCCCAGAGACAGAGCAAAGCGTTGGAATTACTCAGCTCTTAAATCTAGAATTTTTACAATCAGCCTCTCCTCCACCTCAGCAGGAAGAACTTAAATACTTCTGTGTGAGAGGGTTTGGTATCCAGGTATATCACAAAGAAGGAAAAGATTGATTGAAAAAGCTGCTATATTGGTTGTGTAGTGTGGATCAACCTGATTGTGAATCCAGAAGGTGAATAGAATTGCCAACAGCAGGACGAGGGAGGCACCCTGGGTTCATGAGCTAAATTCACAGTGCAGCAGGCAGTGTTCGGGACAAATCTGACGCATTTTGGCAAGTGAGAAAGAGATTTTTGTCATACCCCCCCCCTTTTTTTCCTTTTTTGAGATTTATCTTGTTTATTTATGTTATTTTGCCTGTGTGTCTGTGTACCACATGCATGTAGTACCTGTGGAGACCAAAAGAGGCATCAGATCCTCTGGAAATAGAGTTAGAGCTCGTTGTGGGCCTTTATCTGGGTGCTGGGAATCACACCCAGGTCCTCTGGAAGAGCAGCCCGTGCTCTTAACCACTGAGCTGTCTCCAGCCCCTAGCGTTTGTCTCATATCTATTATGTTCTTCTAGCATGCTCTTCTCAGCATCGACAGATAAGACGGTGGCTGTGTGGGATAGTGAAACAGGCGAGAGGGTGAAGAGGCTGAAGGGGCATACGTCCTTTGTGAACTCCTGTTACCCAGCCCGGCGGGGCCCCCAGCTCGTCTGCACTGGCAGCGATGACGGCACAGTTAAGGTAGGTATTGTCTGTCTGTGCTGCAGTTGAGTTGGCATGATGTAAACTCTAGCCTGTCTTTCTACCGATATTGTGCTCTTCTCTTAGTTTTAACTCATTTTCCAAAGCATACTTCGAATTTTTTTTTAAATATTTATTTATTTATTATGTACACAATATTCTGTCTGTGTGTAGTATATCTGCAGGCCAGAAGAGGGCACCAGACCTCATTACAGATGGTTATGAGCCACCATGTGGTTGCTGGGAATTGAACTCAGGACCTTTGGAAGAGCAGGCAATGCTCTTAACCACTTGAGCCATCTCTCCAGCCCCCTCGAATTTTACCAGTTGAAATAATGCCCTACAAAATTCTATTAGAACCATAGAATGTACTGCTACTTGGAATTAATGGACGGCGAGGATTTGATTCATGGCTCAGCTACGGATTGTGTGTCTTTGAGCAGTTCAATCTCTGAGCTTCGCTTCCTTAATCTTTTTTTTTTTTTTTTTTTTTTTACTTTGAGAAAAGGTTTCTCTGTATAGCCCTGGTTGTCCTGGAACTCCCTTAGTGAACCAGGCTGGCCTCGTGTGCCACCACTACCTGGTGCATTTTCTTAACCTTTCGAATTGTGACAGTAGTATAAGAGTCTTACAAGGTTGCTGTGAAGTCGCAGATGTCTAAGAAGCTCAGCAAATGCTCTCAGTGGCCTAGGATGGGATCTTACAGATCATTTAGTGTGATGATTTCCGAGCTATCTGTGTTAAGATCACCTGAAGAACCTACTAAAAACACCCACAGTAGAGCCGGTGTTCTGGCCAACCTTGGCTGTGTAGTGAGACAATCTCAAAAGACAGATAATAACAATAAAAATTCCCAGAGCATTGTTGAATTCAGAGAATGGCCTGAGCTGCCTAGCAAGACTCTATTTCAAGACAAAAAACTAAATACATCAATCAAGTGATCCCCAAGGCATGCTTCATAGTATGAACTGATTCGTGCGTTTCATTGTGAGACTTTTGTACATGTATATCTTTTTTTTTTAATTTATTTATTATGTCTGTATGCCTGAAGGCCAGAAGAGGGCGCCAGACCTCTTTACAGATGGTTGTGAGCCACCATGTGGTTGCTGGGAATTGAACTCAGGACCTTTGGGAGAGCAGGCAATGCTCTTAACCACTGAGCCATCTCTCCAGCCCCCGTACATGTATATCCTTATACCATGTTCATACTCATACACTCATAAGGCCAACCAAAATGGGGGTGAGAGCACAATGGAAGGAAGGAAAATACCCACGAAGGTAAAGGATTAAAGATAATTTGGAAAATCAGTTATAGGGAGCCTAAGCAACTAAGTAAAAGTATTTAGTATCATAAGATTTCTTACTCTCGTGAAAATGGAGTTTTCAACACAAAAATGGGGAGAAAACTAAACGAGTCTTGTAATGCTGGGTTCAGATAAGAAGAATCGGTGTGAGCTCTCATTTTTGATTTATAAGCTGATAATCTAAACTAAGTCCTTATTTCAGGAAAAACATTTTGGGTAAGATGCAGAACTTGAGTGATTCAATATCACTTGGTATGTTGCGGGAGTGGACATGGGACTAGGGATATACTGCAGTTGGTGTGGGGCTTGCCCACCATGTGTTCCCTGCACAACATAAACCAGGTAATCCCTAGCATGTGGGAGATGAACATAGAAGGATCAGAATTGTAGGTCATCATCAGGTACTTGGCCAATTTGAGGCCAGCCTAGGATACATCAGACTTTGTTTCAAAAACACAAAAGCGGGGAGAGGGGATCTGTGTGTTTACAGGCATTTATGTTCTGAAATTTACACATATTGCATAGCTTTATACTGAGAAGGCTTAGAAAACCCTATTTGATCTACCGGGAATCACTCAGGGCATCAAGCATGCTAGGGAAGTGCTCAGCTCTAAGCCATATCCCAGCTTCATATCTTGTTTTTTGAAACAAAGTTTCTCTGTGTCGCCTTCACTGTCCTGGAACTCTCTTGTAGGCCAGACTGGCCTGGAACTCAGATCCACCTGCCTCTGCTTTCTGGGTGCTGGGATTAAAGGCAAGCGCCACCACACCTGACATTTATTTATTTATTTATTTATCTATTTGTTTATTTATTTATTTATTTATTTTTAATTATGTCTTGGTCTTTAAATATCATTTGCCACTAAACAAAGCTAAGGCTCTTACATTAGGCCTGGTCCAGAAAAGTACTTTAAGATGCGCTTAGAACATCTTGTACAAAAATTTCTGGGCAAATGCTGCAACTGAATGTTATCAGTAATGAGACAGAATTGTGAGCTGTTCGCTAGTGCCTGATGTTACTATTTCTGTGATACCCCTACCAAAGATAAACCTTCAGTCTCGCTGATGCAATGCCAGACAAATGCAAGCGCAGAGAGAAGCATTCCTGTGGTTTTTACAAGTGCCAGGGTCACAGAGCTCAAGCAAAATCTGAAAGAGACTAAAAAGACATGACAAATTTAACACAGAATTCCAAACTGAATTTTGGTGTCTTTTTGAAAAGGATCAGTGGGTAGTGGTTAAGCTTGAGTGGTGTTTGAGTGCCTTGGCAAACACGAGTCTTGGTGGTTTCTTCCTGTTGATGGTGCGCCAAGGAAACATCTGTGTGGACAAACATTAGGAGGTGCTGGGGAGATGAGGCACTAGTCAGCACTCAGTCTAAAATGATTTTAGGGAAAAAGAAAAAATTCTTTTCCAACTGTTCAGGAAGTTTGTGATTATTTCAAAAATTTTTTAATTATTTTAATCAAGCTTTAAGTGGCTACCATACCTTTTTAGATTGGCGCCAAGCGTTGAGGCACACGCCTGTAATCCCAGTCCACAGGAGGCTGAGGCAAGAAAATGGTGAGTTTCAGACTAGCCTGGGCTAAATAGTGAATCTCTGCCTCAAAAATAAGGGACAAAGATTGTTTTGATCTGTGTAAAGATTATCTGTTGAGACAAAGTTTCATCGTATATGTGGAAGCTGAATTATCAAGGCCTTGGCTTCCAGATCTGGAAGTGTCCAGGTGAAGGCCTGTGTCCTCGGGGCCGAAGGAGAGAGTGAACTGCACCTGTAATGTCCCTGAGCAGGGGTAGGTGGGATGTCTGGGTGTGTTCTGGAGGTTGCTCAGCTAGTGTCTGTTTAAAAAGAAAAGGGAAGCACCCTTTGCTCAGGTGACTCTCCTGTAGATTCTTTTACTTAAGATAAAATCTAAATTCACCACTGAAATCTTAAAAAGCTAGACAGGGGCTGTAACTCAGTGTTACCCTTGCCTAGCATGCACAGGGTCCTTGGTTCAGGCTCTGTCACTTAAATAAATCAAAATTAAAGTGACTTTGATACCCAGACATCTCCTCATGCCCAAAGAAACCAGTGAAGTCATTCTTGTTTCCTTCCTATATTCCAGCCCCTGGCAGCTTCTAGGCTGTCTGTGTCTCTGGACATTCCCTACAAATAAAAATGAGACAAGCTACAATCTCAGTGTCTGGGGGAAGTCTCAAATTTGAGGCCAGCCTGGGCTACTTTTCTGTGCAGTGTGGAGAGTGATCTATGGCAGCTATACCTTGGTTTTGAATGAGTGAATTTATTAAGCACAGAGCAAGCAAGTATAAAAGAACAAATAGAAAGTAGTGCAAATAGCAAAACATCCTCAAATTAGTTTCTAATGGGCAGCAGAGATGCCAGAAGTAGCCTGCTTGAGAAAGCAGACAAAGGTAACAGTATCAAATCAGAGTTCACACAAACACCCAGCAGAAGCAAGGCATTGGTGGCACACGCCTTTAATCCCAGCACTTGGGAGGCAGAGGCAGATGATCTCTGAGTGCAAGGCCATCCTGGTCTACAAGAGCTAGTTGCAGTACAGCTAGGGCTATAATAGAGAAACCTTGTCTTGGGGAAAAAACAAACAAAAAACCACCCAGCAGAAATCAGCTGGGGAAGTAGAGGCACTCTGCCGGAGTGCCACACTGAGCTTTCTCCCTGGCTTCTCACTCCCACTGCAGGCACTTTTGTGTCGTGGGATCATAGTGACTCTTTTGGAACTGGTTACCTTCTAGCAGTTCTCAAAGGCATGGGATTTAAGTCCCTTAGCTGCTGCTGTTTCCCTGTCTCCCTGTTACAGAGCCAGCTTGATCCTGGACTAGGGTTTGAAGGAGACAAAAGAGAACCTCTCCTCTCCTGGAGTCCACTTTCCTCAAGTACACTACAGTGTACCAATTTAACTTAACATTAATGCCACGTGGTAAAACAGTCTCATTTTTTTCAGGCAGGGGTAAAGTGCTTTTTGTCCAAGCATGGGGACCAGAGTTTAGATTCCCTACTACCCAAGTGAAGCTGGGCGGTGGTGGCGCATGCCTTTAATCCCAGCACTTGAGAGGCAGAGGCAGGCGGATCTCTGTGAGTTCGAGACCAAGCCTGGTCTACAAGAGCTAGTTCCAGGACAGGCTCCAAAACCACAGAGAAACCCTGTCTCGAAAAACCAAAAAAAAAAAAAAGTACCTACTACCCAAGTGAAAAAGATGGTGGGCCTGGTGGCCTACTGTAATCCTAGTGCACTGGCAGTAGAGACAGGGAATCCATGGAACAAGCTGGCTAGTGAGACTAGCTGAAATGACAAACTCCAGGTTTAGTTAGAGACCCCACTGTAGGTGGAAGTGACTTAATATTCATTATAAATGCTTGGCCAGTAGCTCAGGCTTGTTACTAGCTAACTTACAATTATTTTAACCCATTCTTTTCCTCACATCTTAACCCATATTTCTTATCTACACTTCACCACGTAGCTTAGTGCTCTTCTTGGTTCTCTCTGCATATGGTGGTGACTCCTGACTCCGCCAACTCCGCTCTTCTTCCCATCATTCTGTTTGGCTCTCCCCCTAACCTTATCCTGTCCAGCTATTGACCAGTCACCTTCTTTATTAAACGAATCACAGTGACATATATTCACACAGTGTAAAGAAATATTCCACACCCCACTTCAATATGTAAGGGGGAGGAGGCACATGTTAGCCTTCAACTCCCACAACCACATTCATAAGATTTTTATATCACACATACATGACTGTACATCACAGGCGCACACTACACACGTACATGACTGTACATCACAGGCGCACACTATACACATACATGACTGTACATCACAGGCACACACTACACACATACTATGACTGTACATCACAGGCACACACTACAACATGTACTTTTTTTCGCAGATGAATGTGGTGCTACATTTCTGTGGTCATGGTGCTTGTTGCGGGGGAATCAGGAAGATAAAGAACTCATGGGGGGTTTTTTTGGTTTAGTTTTTTGAGACACAGACCTCCAGTGTAGACAAGCCTCTTCTCAGAACTTTTGTGCCTCCTGTCTAAGCCTCCTGGATGCTGGAATTTCAGGTGTGTGTTTTGAGACTTGAGTCTTACCATGTTGCCAAGCTGATCTCCTGATGTGTGCTACAGTGCCTGGCTCTTTTTGTTGGGGTTGGTTGGTGCGTTGATTGGTTTCCAGTCAGGGACTTACTGTGTAGTACAGACCAGCCTGAAATTGAAAGTGATCTGCCTACCTCAGCCTCCTGGATGCTGAGATTGTAGGCATGGCAGCCTGGGTTACATGGCGAGTTCCAGGGTAACTAGAGCTATATAGTGAGGCCCTGTCCCTAAAAAATATCATTATTCTAATGAGCAACAGTGTTTTGTTTGTGGCTTTTGGTTTTGCTTTGATTTTTTTTTTTATTCTATTTACTTTTTGAAACAGGCTCTCTATGTAGCCTTGACAGTCCTGGAAATCACTATGTAAGCCAGGCTCCTCCTCCCCAGCACTAGACTTGTAGGTAAACTGGCATATGCTGTGCCAGTTTTTTCGTGGGTGCTGGGGATCTATCTGAACTAGGTACTCAGGTATCTAGCAGATACTTGATCAATTGAGTCATCTCGCTGGCACCTTCCTTCCTTTTTTAAATTTCACCTGTTTGTTTATGTGCACACCGTGATGAGCATGTGGAGGCCAGAGGACAGCATGGGGAGTCAGTTCTCTGCTGTCATTCAGGTCATCAGGCTTGCGACCAGTACTCTAGTCACTGAGCCATCTCTCCAACCCCATCCTGTTTATTTTAAAGCTTATCAACAGGTGTGTAGCCTTGTAGGCAAACTCAGCTGTTTCGTAATTTGATGCCCTAAACTTGGAGTTTGAGTGAGCAAGTTTGAGGTGGGGAATAGCTGAACTGCTGAGCAGTAGCAAGAGCCCGGTGTTTCCTTTGCTTTGACGGTAGGTGTGGGGGTGTTCTGTGTGATTGCTCCTGAGAAGGATGTTACTGATGCTGCCTGTTTTCTTCAGCTGTGGGACATCCGCAAGAAAGCAGCTATCCAGACATTTCAGAACACTTACCAGGTGCTGGCTGTGACCTTCAATGACACAAGCGATCAGATTATCTCTGGTGGAATAGACAATGATATCAAGGTATGGTTGTTTATATTTATATTTACCATTCGTGTATCAGAAGCTAATCTTTCTACATGTTTTGAGATTGTACAAGATTGGCACTTAATGCCAACTAAAAAGAAGATAGTGACCTGAAACTTACTTTTTTTTGTCTTTTTCTGATTACTTCCTAAATCAAAGGTTACATATAAATATATATCGGCTCATATAAATGCCATCAAGGGCCAGATGGATATATGCAATCCATGGGTAGAGGGGAGCTGTGAAAATACAGAATATGGCCAGGTTTGGTGGCATACGACTTTAATCCCAGCACTCTGGAGGCAGAGACAGGCAAATCACTATGAGTTCAAGGCCAGCCTGGTCTATAGAGTCAGTTCCAGGACAGTTGGAGCTACACACAGACCCTTTCTCAAATAAAGAATACAGAGTGTAGTTAGGCCCTGACTAGGTATTTGTTTATTCATTTTTAATTACATTTATTTCTGTGAGTGGAGGTCAGAAAAGAATTTGCAATCAGTTCTCTCCTGTCCTATGAGTCCCAGGGGTTGAACTCATGCTGTTGGTCTTGGTAGCAAATACATTTATCTGCTGAACCTTCTCACCCAACAGAAGACACTGACGATTGTTTTTAGCTTTTTGCTTTAATGAGACAGGGTTTCTCTGTAGCTTTGGAGTCTGTCCTGGAACTCTCTCTGTAGACCAGGCTGGCCTTTAACTCACAGAAATCCGCCTGCCTCTGCCTCCCGAGTGCTGGGATTGAAGGCCTTCACCAACACCCCCCAGCCAGCTTCATCACTCTTAACAGTTAGTACAGTGCTTTCCAGAGCAGAGGTCGTGCTGCTGACAGCCACCCGCTGCCACCCAGAGCTGCCCTCTGTGCCAAGCCCCATCTCCGATGTCTATCAACCATTGAACTCTTTGTCCTGTAGCTCCTTTTCCAGGATGTTGGGGACATATGAGTGTGTAGCTTTTGGGGAACTAACTTCTTTTTAATTGTGAGAATTTGATTCTCCTGTCTTCACCACAGGTCAGACAGACCGAAAGAAGGGTTCTTAACACAAACAGTCTGGATGCTGCTGCTGGGCCTTCTGTGCATCACAGTGCAATGTAGTCCGAAGGTCTACCTGGTCCCTGTGTAGTGTAGTTTACTGTCTTCTCAGAGGCGTGTATGATCCCTCCTCTTAGGGCGGGGTCTCTGCAGAGAATAAATCCTAGCCATTGTATGTTAATATATACCAGTTTTACTCTGAAATTTGAACTTATCTCAGATATGAGAAACATAAATATAGCCCCATGAATACTGTAGTTAAATTTAGCTCTGTATTCTAAAATATTCTTTCCTATGTTTTTGGAAAGTGTCCTGATTCTCATAACCCTGCAGCCTTCATTTTTCTAAAATAAGTCTTGGTTTGGAGTTCTCTTGTTTTGTATATGTAGCTCTGGTTGACCTTGAACTCACAGGTATTCCTCTGCCTCCTGATGCTGAGATTAAAGGTGTGTACCACCACACCTGGCTTGTTTTGTTTGTTTGGGCGGTAGGTTCTCAAACTTATCATCCTTCCATCTTAATTTTCTGAATGCTGGCATTGTAGGCATGTATTTAGACATTCAAAGTGGGGTTTTTTAAGGTGTGTGTGTGTGTATATAACATCCTTTAGGAAGCAGAAGAGAGTATCTGATCCATTCAAAGTGGGGTTTTGTTTTGTTTTGTTCTTAGGGGCATGTGTGTACATCCTTTAGGAGGCAGAAGAGGGTGTCTGGTCCCTTGGAGCTGAGTTAATGTTAGTTGTTAGCCACCCACTGTGGGTGAACAAGGTTACTATGCATCAGCTACTCTGGAGCAGGAAGTTCTCTTAACCACCAAGCCACTTCTCCAGCCCTAGTATTCAAATTTTCACATCAGTGCATGCACCTAACTCCTTTCTGAATATTAAAAAATGCCATGCTTTAGAGGACATCAGATATTTTATTTATTTAGAAAAATTACATGGCAGTATTAAATGAAGTTTTTTATAATACCAGTGACTTTCACAAAATTGCTAATCTTTTTCCTTTTGACATCCAGACTATTTCTGTTCCTGATAATGTTTATTATTACATATTTGCTTAATCGCCTATTATGTAAATTTTTTATATTTTGGCTTTAGAGTTATTTTTAGGAACTTGCTCAATAGTATTTAGAGCCTGCCATGTACCAGGCATATTCAAAACATTCCTATTTGTAATCTTTCAGAACGGCAGAGCACTTACCTAGTGTGCTTGAGGCCCTACGTTCAATCTCTAGCATTACTAAAAGTATAAAAGACAAAGGGACAGAAAATATGCTGGTGATGTCATCAATGGTAGCACTCAAAGCTCTGGACTTGAACTTGAACGATGAACAAACAACAAAGGGCAGAACTCCTAGACAGATACTCTTGTGTTTGTCTTCCAGAGGAGGCTCAAAGGGCTCTTTGCATAAATACGCTTTTCATTTTCTTTTTTCTAAACATACATACATACCTACATACATACGTAAGTACATACGCATTGTTTCTATATACATATTATAACATAAGATGAAAAATCTTAACTGTTTTCCAGTTTCGTGTTTACTATATATGATCTTGGGCTTTGTTTTCATTTTGTTTTGTTTGTGTCCCTGCTTGGCCTGGCACTTGCAGCAATCCTGCCTGTCTCTAGTGATGTTCTCATATACATACATCACTGTAATTAGCTTTGTCTACTTTTTTTTTTAATTTTTAGTTTTGAGACCTCTGGCTTCAAATGCACTATATAGCTAAGGGTATCTTTAAACTTCTGATCTTCCTGCTTCTCCTCCCAAGTGCTAAAATTCAGGGGTGCCGTTGGCTCTCTTTCTTTCTTTCTTTCTTTCTTTCTAAGATAGGGTTACTTTGTATAGTCCTGGCTGCCCTAAAACTCATCCTGTAGACCATGCTGGCCTCAAACTCAGAGATCTGTCTGCCTCTGCCTCCCGAGTTCTGGGAATAAAGTCATGTACCACCACCGCCTGGCCTTTATGATTTTTTTGAGATGGTCTCATAGCCAAGTTAGTCTAGAACTCTGTTATTCAAGCTGACCTCGGGTTTAAAATCCTTCCTCATCTGCCTCCTGAGTACTCAAATTAGACATAGACCAGTAAGCCTGTCATCTGGTTTATATAGTTATTTTTCTTTCTTTTTATTTTTTTATTTTTCACTTTATTTGATGTGTATGAGTATTTTGCTTGCATGTGCACATATATGTGCAGCACATGTGTGCCAGGTGCCAGCGGTCAGAAGGGGGCACTTGTTCCCCTGCAGCTAGAATTACAGTTGTGAACCACCATGTAAATGCTGGAAACCAAACCCAGATCTTACACAAGAACAACAAATACTCTTAATCTCTGTGTCATCTCTCTAGACTCTGATGTGTTTGGCTTTTTCATTTGCTTGTTGCTGTGACCTTATTTGTGCTGGAACTGGCTCTGTAGACCAGACTGGCCTTGAACCCACAAAGATCTGCCTGCTTCTGCCACCACACCTGGCATTTCTCTGCTAGTTTTCAGTTTGAATCCTGAGTGCAGTTTTGTGTTGTTACAGGTTTGGGACCTGCGTCAAAACAAATTAACCTACACCATGAGAGGCCATGCAGATTCTGTAACTGGCTTGAGTTTAAGTTCTGAGGGATCTTATCTCTTGTCCAATGCAATGGACAATACAGGTAACTTTGGAGAACAAAGATATTCTGGGACTAGTGTCTGTTGACCGTAAAAGTGGGGGTGGGGGTTGTAGCACAGATTCTAATTAGTCTTAATAATAAAAATCTGGAGTCAGATATCAGCGTAAAGAAAAATCAGAGAAGTAACGGAGCCAGCCACTAGAGAGACTTTACCGCTGAATCCTCAGACCGAAGGGGGCAAGATCCTGCCTCTACAAATCCTCGGACTGAATACTCTGAACTCCTATCTCTTCCCACCTTATATTCCTCTCTCTGCCCAGCCATTTCCCTTCCTGTCTCCATCTCCCAAGTGCTGGGATCCCCTTTATTTGAGCTCTGTTTCTCTTTTAGACAGATTCAATCCTGTGTAGCCCAGGGTGGCCTTGAACTCACAGAGCTCCCTCTGGGTTAAAGGTGTGTGCTGGGCACTGCCTGGCCTCTACGGCTAACTAGTATGACTAGCTCCACATTCTGATCTTCAGAAAGCTGTCAGACCACAGACAAAATATCACCACAGGAGTTAGTATTAAGTAATGTGTATTGGGAAGTGGTGATATAGCTCAGCTAATTAAGCTACCTATGTTTAGACTAGATTATTTGAGCTTGCTCCTAGGACTCCGTACTGAAAGGAAAGAGTCAGCTGGGCAGTGGTGGCACATACCTTTAACCCAGCACTTGGGAGGCAGAGGCAGGCTGATCTCAGAGTTTGAGGACAGCCAGGGCTACAAAGAGAAACCCTGTCTTGGGGTGCGGGGAAGAAGGAGAGTGTCAGTTCCCATAGTTGTCCTCAGACTTTCATATGCATCCCACAGCACGTGCGCTCCCTCACTTATTCGCTCAATCTCCTTCCCTCACCTGCACACACTAGATAAATAAAGCTGTTAAAAAAATTTTTTTTTTTTTTTTTGATTTTTCGAGACAGGGTTTCTCCGTAGCTTTTGGTTCCTGTCCTGGAACTAGCTCTTGTAGACCAGGCTGCCCTCGAACTCACAGAGATCCGCCTGCTTCTGCCTCCCGAGTGCTGGGATTAAAGGCGTGCGCCACCACCGCCCGGCTGTTAAAAATATTTTGATCAGGGGCTGGAGAGATGGCTCAGAGGTTAAGAGCATTGCCTGCTCTTTCAAAGGTCCTGAGTTCAATTCCCAGCAACCACATGGTGGCTCACAACCATCTGTAATGGGGTCTGGTGCCCTCTTCTGGCCTGCAGGCATACACACACAGACAGAATATTGTATACGTAATAAATAAATATTTTAAAAAATATTTTGATCACAGCCGGGCGGTGGTGGCGCACGCCTTTAATCCCAACACTTGAGAGGCAGAGGCAGGCGGATCTCTGTGAGTTCAAGACCAGCCTGGTCTACAAGAGCTAGTTCCAAGACTGGCTCCAAAACCACAGAGAAACTCTGTCTTGAAAAACCAAAAAAAAAAAAAAAAAAAATTATTTTGATCAGGAGTCTGGGGGATAAATCAGTGGGAGAGTGCTTGTCTAGCATGCATGCAGCCCTGGGCACAATCTCCAGCCACACAGAAGGATTAGAGGGAAGTGTATATTAGACTAGATGAAAGTCCAGGACAAAGGGAGGCTGACATTTCACTGTCAGCTAGAAGACAGTTGAGGTGAGGTGATCTAGAATCCAGGACTCTAATCCCAAAGCTCCTGTGTAGTCTGAACGATTGTACACACAGAGTTTCTCCTCCCTGGGATTCAGGCATTCCTATGTAGGTAAAATGGTAGAGGGCTGGATTTTCCCTTGCTGTTGTGCAGTAGTCTTTCTGTACACCATGATGAAGTGTCACTGTGATTGGTTTAAAAAATGCTAAACAGCCTGTAGCCAGGCAGGATTTTCCGGGCAAAGGGAACTCTGGGAAGAAGGGCGGAGATGGCAGAAGAGGAGGAAGCAGGAAAGCAGGATGATGCTTAGATGAGGTAATCGAGCTTTGGGGCAGCACATAGATTAATAGAAGTGGGTTAAGTTATGAAAGCCACTTAGAAACAAGCCTAACGTATTAGCCTAGCCTTCATGGTTAATAAGAAGTCTCTTTGTTATGATTTGGGAGCTGGCTGTGGGACAGAGAAAGACTCAATACACATAGCACCTGATGTGAGGCACCAAATGAAGCATTTATTTGTTTGTTTGTTTGTTTGTTTTATTTTGTTAAGACAGGGTTTCTCTGTAACTTTGGAGCCTGTCCTAAAACTCACTCTGTGGACCAGGCTGGCCTTTAACTCACAGAGATCCACCTAAAGGCTAGTGATAGTAGCAGAGGCAGGCAAATCTCTGAGTTCAAGGACAGCCAGGTCTACAAAGAGAAACTCTGTGTTGAAAAAAAAAAAAAGAGGGGCTGGAGAGGTGGCTCAGAGGGTAAGAGCACTGACTACTCTTCCAGAGGTCCGAAGTTCAATTCCTAGCAACCACATGGTGGCTCACAACTATCTGTAATGAGACCTGGTGCCTTCCTTGCCAGCAGTACATTGTATGCTTAATAAATAAATAAATAAATAAATATTTTTAAAAAAAAGGGAGCTAGAGAGATGACTCAGAAGTTAAGAGAACTGGCTGCTCTTCCAGAGGACCCAGGTTCAATTCCCCACATGGCAGCTCACAGCTGTCTGTAACCAATTCTAGGGAATCTGACACCCTAATACAGACATACATGCAGGCAAAACACCAATGTACTAAAAATAAATAATTTTTAAAAAGGAAGAAAAATAAAGTTTACCTCAGCTGCATATTCAAGGTCAGCTTGGGCTACACAAGACTGTATCCAAAAAAAAAAAAAACAACTGATGTTTTTGTTGTTGTTTTTCTTAGTTTTACAGAACAGGAAGCCAAGACATAGTCTCATTTTAACCTGGCATTACCATTACAAAATTAGATTCAGAGTTTCTGTTTTCCAAGGCAAGAATGTGTGGTAGAACGTTCACCTAGCATATGTGAGAGCCTGGATTAAATCCCCAGGACCTTAGGATGGCGACAGTGTTCATATGTCCTGAGGTTGGGGACAGTATTGTATGTCCTGGGGTTGGGGGGCAGTTTTGTGTGCCCTGTGGATGGGGGTGTTCCTATATCCTGGAGGTGGACATGTGGATATCATGAGGAGAGTATCGTGTGTCCTGATTCTCATTGTGGAGGTTTCTTGCTATATTATTCAAGTTTAGACTGTCAGAGCACCCGTCAAATTGAAGGAAAGGTTGAGTCTTTGCAGATGCGCATCACAGCAGTCAGTGGTGTTTAGATTCTTATGAGTGGGGAGATGGCCCAGTTAATAAAGGACATATGTAAAATCCAGACATCTGTGACCCTAGGATGGAGCTCACTGGCCAATCGGTGAGTGCTAGACTTAGTGAACCCTGTTTCAAAAAATAAGGTAAAAACTGAGCATGGTAGTTCATACTTTTAATCCCAGCACTTGGGAAGCAGAGGCAGGGTGATCTCTGGGAGTTCAAAATCAGCCTGAGTAATCTACATAGAGAGTCCCAGACCCAGGAAGGCTATAAAATGAGACCCTGTCTCAAAAACGAAAAAAAGGAAGAAAAGAAAGAAAGAGAAAAAGGTTAGCCACTGGTATCCAAGCATGAATGCACACTAAGCATGCACGCACATTGCATACACACACACACAAAAAAGTTTATTTAATGTATATGAATGTTTTGCCTGTGTGTGTGTGTGTGTGTGTGTGTGTGTGTGTGTGTGTGTATGAACTGTACATGCTGGTGCCCTCAGGGGCATTGGCTCTCCTGGAACTGGGGTTACAGGTGGTTGGTTGTGAGTCACCATATGGGTTCTGGGAACTGATCTGAGGTCCCGTGCAAGAATTTGTGCTCTTAACCGCTAAGCCATCTCTCAAGCCTCCAAAAAAATTTTTTAGATTAAACAAAATCATTGTCATATTGAAACTTTGCTGGATGTAATTCTGAATTGGCAGAGGAATCATTTGGAAAATATTTTTTTATTTTGTATGTTTTATGATCTGTCTCACTCTCCCCCCAAAATGCCTGTGGGGTGTGTGTGTGAAAGGCAGACAAACACAGGAAGATTTAACTACATCGTTGCAGTTTCTATGTCCTTGGCTCTCCTTCCTCTGTGCCCTCAGCTTAATGAGGAAGATGATCATTGGTGACCCCACTGGAAGAGTGAAAGAGCCTTATCTGCCGGGTGGTGGTGGCACACGCCTTTAACCCCAGCACTTGGGAGGCAGAGGCCAGCGGATCTCAGTGAGTTCGAAACCAGCATGGTCTACAGAGTGAATTGCCAGACAGTCAGGGCTGTTAAACAGAAAAATCCTGTCTCAAAAAAAAAAAAAGGAAGAAGTCAAAAAGAACCTTAGTAATTAGTATTATGTCATGTTGGACCTCCTTAACCAGGAGACAGTATTTGTTACTGACATGGAAGCTGCTGGCTTGTAGTTATGTTTGTTGTTTGATTGGCTTGGCTTTGCTTTGTAGTGCGTGTCTGGGATGTCCGGCCCTTTGCTCCCAAAGAAAGATGTGTGAAGATATTTCAAGGAAATGTGCACAACTTTGAGAAGGTGAGTGGCAACTGCCACGGGGTTGGTACCTGTCCATTTGCTCTGAAGAAACATTTATTTAGTGATGCTAAAGGGTGAAGAGTTGTTGGCCCTCTGAGAATGAGTGAAGTCTGGTAACCATCATCATCGAAGCTGCCCTCTCTTCTGCCTCAGCGTCCCTGTGCTCTTCCAGGAGCAGGCTCCGCATCTGCCTCAAAGTTTGTAGGACTTGTGACTTCAATGCCTCCCTCCCTAACAGGGCATCCTGGCCTTTTATTCCTTAGGAATCTCAACCCTGTAAATCAGTGTCTGTGGACCCCGACTCCCATTGCTGTTACCAGATACCTGCTGTTAGAGCTGTGGGTTCATACCCATTCCCCTTGTAATCACGATGGCCTGAGTCCAAGAGAATTTTTCTCAAATCCTCAAGTATCTGATCAGCTCTTTTGGAAGCTGCTTTTTTTTTTTTTAGCATTGAGTTTCTTAAAAGAGATTAATGATTTTCTTTTGAGAGTTCACTGAGATTGTTTTACCCTATAAATCAAATCTTATTTTTGTTGGGTTTGGGTTTTTTTTTCTTCAAGATAAAGCAAAAGAATTTAAAAAAAAAAAGATTAAATTTTAAAACGTTTTAATGAGGATCAAGATAAGTGGAGCAAAGGGAGCCTTTGTTTAAAGACAGAACAAATTTTTGTTGCCAGGTTTGTTCTTAATAACTGTAGGTTAAGCATTTCTGCATCTAGTTTTTTGTGTGGTATAAAATTACAAAGCAGGCTGGAGAATTGACTCAGCAGTTAAGAGCACTGGTTGCTCTTGCAGAGGTTGCAGAGGACCAGGGCTTGACTCCCAGCAAACGCCTGGTAGCTCACAGTTGTCTGTAACTCCATTCCCAGGAGATGTGATGCCCTCTTCTGGCTTCCTCAGTGACCAGGCATACCTCAGGCATACCTGCAGACCAAACACCTAAAATAATACACATAGAATAATGAGATAAGTATTTAAAGAAGAATAAGTAAAATTACAAAGCATGCTGTTCTGAGCAGGGATTAATATATTAGCTGATATTTGTTCTGGGGAGACACTCAAAGCCTAGTAGAAAATTTAAAGTCAATTGACTCCTAGTATAGCAAGAGGAGTTTGGCCTATTAACTGTCTTGTACATCCCTCTCCTTACAGAACCTCCTGCGGTGTTCTTGGTCACCTGATGGAAGCAAGATAGCTGCTGGCTCAGCGGACAGGTAAGGGCTCCTGGAGTAAGGTAGAGAATGATGTGGCTGTTCGGGTCTCGCATTTAAAGTGTGGGTGTGAAGACAACAGGCGTCTTTACCCACGTGACTAAGGGGTGCCCTGTAAAGCACAGCGTCCACTCTACTCTCTACAGTACTACTCCTGTAGCTCCGTGCCACTACAGGTCGGTACGCAAGCCGGGAATTGGGCCTGGAGATTTAAAAACACGCACAGAGACAGACAGAAAGAGACATGGACACGGGTCACCCTTGATACAAGAAAACCAACTCAGGGGCAGCTTATATAGTGCTCTGGCCACACGCCTTTGTTTCAGCCCAGCATCTGGTCATAGCTGCCAGTACGGATGATGATTTAGAGTCATATCTGAGCTCAGTGGAAAGTACCAGCATTGCTAAGCAAAATGGGCTGATGTTTCCGCCAAATTAATAAACCAGGACTTTTTTACATGTGAATTTAAACTGGTTCAGGGCCATATGTTATGAGGGAGAGAAGGGAGAGAATTCACCATCAGATGCTGTTGTTTTTAATTGTCCCTGGTGATGTGTACTTGGGAGGAAATCAGGTGGAGTAGGGAATCTGAGGGCCAAGGACACTGGGCTTGTGGGAACTCTGGAGACTCGTGGTAGGGGCATGTAAGCAGGGTTCTGCCCTGGCTCATAGCTTTCAGCACAGTTTAGGATTCCCTATGGAGACATGCTTAAAAACTTCTTTGGTTTTGTTTTTTCAGAATGTGATCTCCATATGTAGCTCTTACTTAGTCTTGGAAGTTACTCTGTAGACCAGACCACCCTTGAACTCACAAAGATGCATCTGCCTCCCAAGTACTTGAGTTTAAAGCACCACTACACCTGATCTGGCTTGTGTTTGGATTTCTTTCTTTTTTTTTTGTTTGTTTGTTTGTTTGTTTGCTTTTTTGTGTGTTTTGTTTTATTTTGGTTTTTTGTTTTTCGAGATGGGATTTCTCATGTAGTTTTGGAGCCTGTCCTGGAACTAGCTCTTGTAGACCAGGCTGGTCTCGAACTCACAGAGATCCGCCTGCCTTGCCTCCCGAGTGCTGGGATTAAAGGCGTGCGCCACCACCGCCCGGCCATGCTTGGAAATTTTTAAGTCATTTTTTTTTCCCGATCAAATTTAATGTCAGGAAAACTGGACAAGTATTCAGGGTGTTTGGGGCAAGTGGATAGCTAAGGGAAAGAGTGCTATATTAATGGTTTGAGTCTCAGAGGTTTAAAAAGCTACCATGAAGAATCTCAGAGATTTTCTATTATTAAGATAAAGAAAACTTAACCCTACCCCCTGGCAATGGGCAGAGACGTCTCCCTGGTGGTGTTGTTCCCACATCAGCCAGGGCAGAGCAGGTAGCAGTCCTTTGTTCATCCTAGCTAGAGGCCTGACTTAGTGGCCAAAGCTGTTTCATGCCTAGGGCACATTCAAAAAAAACAAAACAGGGGCTGGAGAGATGGCTCAGTGGTTAAGAGCATTGCCTGCTCTTCCAAAGGTCCTGAGTTCAATTCCCAGCAACCACATGGTGGCTCACAACCATCTGTAAAGAGGTCTGGCGCCCTCTTCTGGCCTTCAGGCATACAGACAGAATATTGTATACATAATAAATAAATAAATATTTTAAGAAAAAACAAAACAAAACAGACACACAGAAACTTAGGAAATAGTCCAAGGAGCCTTGCCTGGTGCTTGCCTGTAACCCAGCACTCAGGAGACTAATCCAGGGTCAGAATTTGAGACTGTCCTGGCGAGTATAGCGAGACTCTGTCTTTTTAAAAACAAAAGTACAAGAAGTTTGCATTCTCACAGAGTGGAAAGCATTCTTAGTATTTTTGTATCATTTTCTGTAGAGATGGTATGTTTCCCCTTATAATTGTATCTTTTTTTAATTGTTTTAGATTTATTTATCTTTTTTGAAAGATTTTTAAAGCATTTATCTAGCCATATCTACCTATATGGGTGTCTTGCCTTCATGAATGTCTGTGGACCACTGGTATGTCAGGTGCCTGTAGAAACCAGAAGAGGATGTTGGATTCCCTGAATCTGGAATTAGAGATGGTTGTAAGCCACATCTGGGTGCTAAGAATCAAGCCCTAGTCCTCTAGAAGAGCAGCCTGTGTTTCTAGCCACTGACCCACATCTCTCCAGCCCCGAATTGTGTCTTTGTTTTGTTTTTCAAGACATGGTTTCTCTGTGTAGGTCTGGCTGTCCTGGAACTCTCTTTGTAGACCAGGCTGAACTGGAACTCGGAGAGAGCCACCTGCCTCTGCCTCTGCCTCCCAAATGCTAGGACTAAAGGGATGATGAACCACAATGCCCGGCACACATTTTCCATTTTACAGTGTCCTCTCATTCCCCTTCCTTCTCACCATTCCTTACATGAGGATGCATGGCTTGGTCAGAAGCAAGGCCTATCCACTCTGTTGGGCTGGGCAGGATTTCACAGTCCACCTCGACAGTTAGCCTGAAGTAAGCAAGCAGTTCTATTACATAAGTAACCTGGTTTCTACCAAATGTTGACATGCCCAAATGTGGAGAGGACAAGGAACCCTCTAAATTTAGCATGTAATTGGCATCCATGAAGAGTGAGGCCTTAAAGTAAACCCTTGGAGATCCAGGCTTCTGTCAGCTTCTGTGTACTTGAGAGATAATATCCACCTCAGAAACCCGCTTTCCAGCTGAGTCTGGCTTTGGCAGATTTCCCCTTTCTGCCTACAGATAGATCACTTCCTTGTGTGCACTTAACCCTCCACAGCCCTGTTCAGACACTAGCCAGGCTGCTGATTTCATGTGACTCTAGCTTTATAACACATGTACTCATAATAATAACAGCAGTCATTAGTTCTGTGTGCCAGATACTTTGCATATATTCTTATTTTTCTCAGTAAGCTTTAAATTCACTTTTTCTCCATCACTATAAAAGAAAAAGGAAGCAGTTGTGTTGAATTATCTTGGTTCGAGAAATAAACAAGGTAGCTAAAAGATAGAACAGTTATATATTTATTTATTGTAAGGGGCAAACTCATGAAATAGGAACAAGAAATCCAAACTCGGATATGCTGCGAGGAAACCTCACAGAGAGGGCGCACCAGGTCCCAGAAAGCCACACCCTAACTTGGTCCCTCCTCTTAAAGTTAATTGGTTGGCAGAGATTCCTCATCACAGTTGTCTGATTACTTAGCTAGTGAATCTGCCCTGGAGGTCATCCCAGCTTCTCTGATTCCAGTGCTGTCAGCCTTCCACTCTGCCCTTGGTGGGCACGAGGGATAGTGGTTTGTGCATGACAGAAAAGAGGGCATGAGCACCAGCTAAGAGGCAGAGAAGGGTAGGGTTCTGCCTCCTGTCTAGAACAATTTGCTGTAGCCAAGGATGGTTTTGACTTCTTCTGTCTGCTCCTCCCAAGCGCTGGGTCTATAGGTGTGCACCAATATGCCCAACTACTCAAGAGCTTTTACTCATTTGCTCTTGAGCCTAGACTATGAGGGTGTGAGGTATAATTAATAAGCCTTGTTTACTTAGAGGGTAGATGTAGCGCCTGCACTATGAGACGGTACGTGAGCTGGGAACCGTGCTGTAGACTTAAAAACACACGCACACAGACAGACAGAGACATGGGGACATGGTTCATCCTTGATACAAGAATGCCCACTTTAGGGCTGGAGAGATGGCTCAGAGGTTAAGAGCATTGCCTGCTCTTCCAAAGGTCCTGAGTTCAATTCCCAACAACCACATGGTGGCTCACAACCATCTGTGATGAGGTCTGGTGCCATCTTCTGGCCTGCAGGCATACACATTAATTGTATACATATTAAATAAATAAATAAATATTTTTTAAAGAAGAATGCCCACTTTAGCCGCGCAATGGTGGCGCACACCTTTAATCCCAGCACTTGGGAGGCAGAGGCAGGCGGATCTCTGAGTTTGAGGCCAGCCTAGTCTATAAGCGCTAGTTCCAGGCCAGGCTCCAAAGCTACTGAGAAACCTGTCTCAAAAAAAAACAAAAAACTTTATTGAGCTCAGGGGCAGCTTATATAGGGCTCTGGCCACGCCCCAGCTCTTGATATCTTTCAGCTGCAGACTCACCAAAACCCACTCCCCTGCCATCAGGGTCTCGTGTTCAGAGCAGCTGCAGGCTGCTCAGAGCAGAGGAAAACAAGTTGTTTACAAGAAATTCGGGGCCTGGTGGTCCACAGTCCCCAACAGGTAGAGGGTCTGGAACATCTCACAGCATATCCTGGGCTGGCCTATTCCCATGGCAGGATTGCAGGTATACATACCGTGCCTAGCTTGTGTGGGTCTTAGAGTAAAAGTATAAAAGTATACCTAGGTTTGTGGCTTTCCCCTACCTCTGCGTTTGCAGCTTATTACGAGCAAGCTGTACCAGTAACATGGATATGTTTATGTTTCTATAATTTCAGGATTTGGTTGGTTTTCAGCCACCAGATATTCTTTTTTTTTTTTTTTGGTTTTTCGAGACAGGGTTTCTCTGTGGTTTTGGAGCCTGTCCTGGAACTAGCTCTTGTAGACCAGGCTGGTCTTGAACTCACAGAGATCCGCCTGCCTCTGCCTCCCAAGTGCTGGGATTAAAGGCGTGCACCACCACCGCTCGGCCACCAGATAGTCTTTATTTACTTGGTAGAGTCTTAGTTTCTAAAACCCAGAGTATAGTTCAATAAACAAACATTCCCATTTCACTTCGATACCCAGTGTCCTCACCGACCTCTAAGGGATCTGCACTTGTCGTTATGGCCCCTTGCAGGTTTGTGTACGTGTGGGATACTACGAGCAGGAGGATCCTGTATAAGCTGCCTGGCCATGCTGGCTCCATCAATGAAGTGGCGTTCCACCCTGATGAGCCTGTCAGTAAGTCCACATCTGCCCTGACTGCTACAGAAGAGAAAGCAGCCTCTCTCCCTGGGACTTGAGGGACAGAGGCAGGCAGGGCTGTTGTATGAATCCAGTGCTAATTTGGGTTTTGAGGTATTTTGGTGTGGGGTTTTCATGGGTTTGGGGTTTTTTGTTTGTTTTTTGTGGGGAGTTGGGTTTTTGTTGTTGTTGTTATTTTGGTTTGGTTTGGTCTGGTGTTTTTGTTTTTGGGGTGGGGAGCTGGCCATAAGAGAAGGCAGTTGTCAGCATAAAGGGGGATGCCAGTGCTAAAGCAACCTAGGGTTTTCTTATTACACTAAGATTCGGATGAAATTGGAAACGCCCCCAGCCTCCAGCCTCCAAACAGTTTTCTCTGTGTAGTCCTGGCTCTCCTGGAGCTCTGTAAACCAGGCTGGCCTCGAACTCAGAGATGTGCCTGCCTCTGCCTTTCAAGGGCTGGGATTAAAGGTGTTCTCCACCACCACCAGGCAAAACTAAAAGTGTGTTTTTTCCAGCTAGGATCTTACTATGTAGCCTTGGCTTGGCTGGTGTTCATTGTGTAACCCCTGCTGATCTCATACTTGAGGGAATCTTCCTACCTGAGTTTCCCAAATACTGGGCTCTTCGGAGGAACCCAGCACATAAACCACAGGAAGAGATCTCAGGGAGAGTCAGTATGAAACAGTAGTAGTGTTGGAGTTTATTTCAGAAAAGTTTACTCTGCATTTAAGTGGGGTGCTAACAGGCCTAAAGGGAATGCAGGCATCTTCCGGGGGTTGCTGCCATCTATAGGCCAATCTTGGAATTGCAGTCCTAGATGATGGTTGGCTTCAGTTCTCACCTCAGAAAAGGCTGCCTAAAAGACTGAGTTCTTATGACATTCTCAGTTCAGGTTCTCTCCATAATTTACTCTCTTGGAGTGGCAGAGACTGTAGACAAGAATGACTTGTGAATGTGTAGATTAAAATTATAATAAATTTGATTAGTTAAGCTTTAAATTTAAAGAAAGAACATGTTACCTTTCTCCAGGAGTATATATAGATTTTAAAAAACCAAGCAGAAGCATATTGACTGAGTGGATGGACACTTGTAATCCCACCCTGGGTTGGTAGAAGCAGGAGGATTCCTAGAGGTTTGCGGCTAGCCAGTCTACATCACAAGCTCTAGGTCAGCCCAGTGAATAAAGAGACTGAGAACCTTGTCTGAGAAAGCCTCAGCCCAAAAACATGTGCATACTCCTGCACCTTGTGTGTCTGACTTAGAAGAGCATGAGGTTCCCATAGCATAGCCATCCTTGGGGCTTCAAGGGGGCTTGGATTGAAAAGCCAGGCTGCAATTTCCTGTGTGTGTGTTTAGGAGAATTCAAGCTAAAACCAAATGCTCTTACATGTCACAGTTGTCTTTTGACACAGGGCCCTTGAGCTCCAAGGGTTCCCAAGCCTTCACTTCTCCTGTCTTGTTCTTTTTCCCTTAGTCCTCTCAGCATCCAGTGACAAGAGGCTGTATATGGGTGAGATTCAGTGAAGATTTAGGATGGAAGGCTCCCCGGCTGTGTGACCTGAGGCTCATGCTACATTATGACCAGAGTCATATGGTGTCCAAGCTGACCTGCCTTCAGATGACCGTCACTAGCAAGCAGCTGGAGGTGATGGTCGTACTCCAGCAACCATTTGTACCCCATTTACAGAACAGCTGTGGCCTCTGGTACTACCTGCCACATTTCAGGGATTGGTTTCTTTTTCTTAAAAAAAAAAATAAGACTTCTTCAGAGGGACAAACATTGGTTTGAGGTCTCCTGTTTTTTAACCTATGCTGGAGACAGGGAATGTCAGTTGAAATTTGTTGAATTTGTTTTCTGTTTATTTTAAATTGAATAACTGGCTTGTATGATATTTTTCTTTCTTGTTTGAGTCATTTTGTATTAAAAATCCAAATAGATAACCTTTTTACAAGAACCTTGTGGCTTAGATTTCTTATTTCTTGCTGTCTTTTCTCTGAGGCTTGATTGCTGTAAGTCAGAGGAGTATATGTCTGGTAGATACGATCCACCTGCTCTTCAGTGACTCTGTTTACTTGGAGTCCCCCACCCCCTTCTGTTGTAGGTTTCCTCACTATTGTGAAAATGACAAGGTGTAATTATCAGTAGCAGATACTTTCCTGTAATTACGAGCACAGCGTCCAGAACGTGATGAATGAGGTCCAGAAGGGCCTGGCTCTGGGTCTGTCTGCTCTGCCTCCTGCCCAAAGCCCTTTCCTTAGCAGCAGTCCTGTGCTCGGGGCTCCTGGGGAACCAGAGCTGTGGCAGCCCCAGTCGGGGCCCTTGGCCAGAATGCAGCTTCATGAGCAGCCCAAGTGGGAGATGGGTGTTTTCCTAGGCTTTGACCGTGGCATTTTCTGAGGCTCTTTATGATCCTGTTTACCTGTCTGACTTTGCTGATCTGACAGGGATGTTGAGAAACGCTGTCATGTGCCTTCTACTAAGACAGGTTCCTCCCTCCCTTGGGTCTCTGGTTGACTGTCCAGCACACAGACAGGCACTAATGAATCCATCTGCCCCAAGGAAGTAGAATGTATATTTTTTTAACCTTCTATCTCAAAGCAAAAGTCTTCTTATCTTCAATAATTCTGGGCATGTTTGGCTTAGACTTTGGGCTCATGAACTTAAATCATATTTCTCATAAGTCAAAGAGGATGCTGCTGTGGGTTTAGAACATAGTCATTCAACACCACCAAGCCCTGTTATGTGACAGGCAAAGTCATCATTGCTGAGGACAGAGATGGGAAAGGTCTTGTCCTTGCCCTCATGAGAAGTGCACAAACCAGTAGAAAATATTGTTGGAAATAAACTACTTTCTTTTTTAACTGAGCACATGCCCGAGATTTATTTAACTTATTAATGAAGAAGCCAGCAGGATAGTAAAGCTCTCAGAGCAATTACTTTTAATACAGTGAATGAAGTTTGAGTAAAGCACACTGGAAACACAGGGGGGAAGCTATTTATCGTGCCTGTGAGAGAACAAAGAAGCATCCTGGATGCTGTGGTTATGCTTGCGTATGGACAGCAAACAAGGAGGGCTGTCTAAAACCAGACACAAACCTGAGGGGGTGGGGGTGTCTCAGAAGCCAGAGAAGTGTGCTTGGAGACAGGGGCAGCAAATCCCATAGCGTGGAAACTTCGCATACTTGAGCCTGTAGAGTGAAGTCCCCCAAGGTGTGTTTCACAGACTTGACATACTCTGAGTTTAAAGAATCCCCTCGTCTGACATATTTGGGAAAGATGGCGGGGGGTGGGGGGGAGCGGTAAACAACATGAACCTGGTTTCATTACTTTGAGCCTTTACCATACAGAGTACTGTGTGTACTGTGCTATCAGGACAGGGCACGCAACTGTAATCCCAGCCCTTGGAATCCAGAGACAGGACATCCTCTGCTACATAGCTAGTTGGAGGCCAGCCTGAGTTCGGGTGCTAGAAACTGAATAAAAATCCAGGTGCGGGGGGCTGGAGAGATGGCTCAGTGGTTAAGAGCATTGCCTGCTCTTCCAAAGGTCCTGAGTTCAATTCCCCGCAACCACATGGTGGCTCACAACCATCTGTAAAGACGTCTGGCGCCCTCAACTGGCCTTCAGGCATACAGACAGAATATTGTATACATAATAAATAAATAAATATTAAAAAAAAAAAACTAAAAATCCAGGTGCGGTGGGACTCATTTATAATCCCAAACACTGGCACACCGAGATGAGAGCTGGGGATGGGGATTGTCCAGATGCTCACAGGCTAACTGGCATGAACCCTCACAGCGTGACAGACACGAGAAACCCTGCCTCAAAACAGTAACAAAGTGGAAGAAAGGAACTCACTACGCAGGGGCGTGTGTCTCAGAAAGGAATGGTGGCTGTCATCTGGCCTGGCACTAATTAATTACCTATATGGCTATAATGACCTTCTCCAGGAGAAACGTGGTCCCGAATGTCTTCAGCCTGATCTTCATTCCTCAGAAATCACAAGTAGCTTTTTTTTTAAATAATTTGTTTTTATTTTACGTGCACCAGTGTTTTGCTTGCGTGTATGTTTGTGCAAGGGATTTGGATCCCCTGGAACTAGAACTATGGATAGGTGTGAGCTGCCATGTGGATGCCGGGATTGAACCTGGGTCCTCTGGAAGAGCAGTCAGTGCTCATAACTACTGAGCCATCTCTCCAGCCTACAACTAGCTTTTTAACACCCCTTTTTAAATATGATTTTTTTAAAAAAGATTTATTTCTTGTGTATAGTGTTCTGCCTGTGTGTGTACCTGCAGACCAGAAGAGGGCACCAGATCTCATTACAGATGGTTGTGAGCCACCACGTGGTTGCTGGGAATTGAACTCAGGTCCTCTGGAAGAGCAGGCAGAGCTCTTAACCTCTGAGCCATCTCTCCAGGCCTTTAATTTTTAGTCTATGTGTATGTGTCTGTTTATGTGTATGTATGTATATATGTATGTATGGTATGTATGTGCTTCACGTGCATGCAGTACCCACAAAGGCCAGAGGTGGCATCGGATCCTGGGAGAGCTGTAGTTACACAGTTGTGAGGTACCTGGTGTGGGTGCTGGGATCCAAACTCAAAGACAGCAAATGCTCTTAGCCGCAGTGTCATCCTCCAGCCCTCTTTAACCCTTATTAACACCAGATCCACATGCCTCAGTCCAGCCCCTTCTCACCCCACTGTGTGTGTAAGCATGCTGTGTATGTGTGGGGACCTGTGCTGTGTCACGTGTGAAGGGGACAGGTTAGTGGAGTTGATTGCATCCACCTTTCCATGAGTCACCACTACGCACATGTGGAGGTCAGAGAGTAACCTGGAGTTGGCTCTCTCTGGCCATGTGGATCCCTTGGGTTGAACCCCATTTGTCAGGCTTAGCAACGCCTTTCCCCATGGAGCCATGTCACCTGACTCTGGCACTGTGCTCTCAAAGGCCTCCCAGTCCCTTGAAGAGTCAGTGGTGACTGAGGGTGGAAGGGCTCGGAGGCTGAGGGTGTTTTCCTCAGCCCCTTCAGTCCTTCCTAGTTCTTACGGGGCTGAGTAGGAGCCATTAGCAGGAAATGGCCATACCACTTAGGATTGAAGAGAACAGAAGCCCTAGCCTGGGAATAAAGATTTAAGCATAAAACATCTCCAGGGGGTGAAAATTGTCTCCTCACTTTGGGAGAGATAGATTGCTCCCGAATGAGTAATGGCATCTCTGGCTTTCAGTTAATTTCCCTTTATGACTTCAGTCTCGGCACTTAATACTGCGGGCACTTAAAGCCAAACTTCTTTTTCACTGGGTGGCTTTTTGTGAGCTGAATTGTGAGGGAGGTGGGTTTTTAAGTCATTTTTTTCTGCACACAAACGCACATCGGCACAATTATTTCTTCTAGCCCGTGGCCCCCGTACCGTCTGTCCCCAGTGCCCCCACAGCTGGTTTGCAAACAGCTCATGAGAGCACGGGTTGCCTCTGTCTTCCTTCCCTACTTCCCCTGGTTGCTCAGAGACAGTTGGCGCTTTCCAGGGGGAGAGAGAGAAGAGAATCCCCGGTGATGGCAGTGACCTCAGCCAGGGATGAGTCCCCAAAGGGAGACCCAGTCATCCTTTGTCCCGTGTAGTCAGATGACAGGCAGAGCTGACTTACCCAGGGCCAGCTGCCAGTTGTTTCTTCACATCAAAGCCACAGAATTTACAAGCTGGGTGAGGCACACATTTAATCCCTACACTTGGGGGCAGAAGCAGGCAGATCTCAGTGAGTTCAAGGCCAACCTGGTCTACCCAGTGAATTCTAGGATGGCTGGGGCTACAGAGAAACTCTGTCGTGAAAAACTGAAAAAAAAAAATCAAAACAGTATTTGCTAACCAATAGGCCAGAGTCTGCTTCTTCCCAAAAGGGGTAGAGGTGGGGAGGCAGAGGTAAGAAAAGAATTCCTGAGCAATGTCGGCTGTGAGAAGTTGAGCCTTAGGGGAACACTGTCGGAAACTTGGTTTGACAGGACTGTTCCTTCCAGAGAATTTTGGATGGGTTTGCTGGGTTTGATCCCTAGCACCAACTGGACAGCTAACATCCCAGGCCAAAGTGTGCTGGACCCTCTTTCTGTGGGACCAAGTAAAGGCCCGTGTTCTCATCAGCTACCTCGCACATATAATGACCTCTGACCGCATCCTGGGTGAACCCCTACCCTCTGTATTGAGCCCTGGGCTGGACCAGACTACGCTTCAGGTATTTTCTCATTCCACTCTGAAGCTCATCTGGACTCTTGCATTATTCTTTTTTTTTTTTATTTATTTATTATGTATACAACATTCCTTCCATGTATGCTCGCATGCCAGAAGAGGGCACCAGACCCCATTACAGATGGTTGTGAGCCACCATGTGGTTGCTGGGAATTGAACTCAGGACCTTTGGAAGAGCAGTCAGTGATCTTAACCTCTGAGCCATCTCTCCAGCCCTCTTGCATTATTCTTTAACTTGGGTCAATTTTGTCCCTTAAGGGACATTTGATGGAGCTTGAAGATCCCTGTGGGTGTCTAGCAGAGACCAAGGCCACACAGAGAATTTGCTGCTCCAGAAAGTCATTCGTGATGCTGTTGAGAAAACCTGCTCTAGAACAGTGAAATTCATTCATTCTTTTGGTTTTCCAAGAGAGGGTTTCTCCGCGTCTTTTATTCATTTTGTTTCCATAGAGGTGATTGAAGTCGGGGCTTCAGGAATGCTATGCAAATTTTTTTTTTTTTTTTTTTTTGGTTTTTCGAGACAGGGTTTCTCTGTGGCTTTGGAGCCTGTCCTGGAACTAGCTCTGTAGACCAGGATGGTCTCGAACTTACAGAGATCCACCTGCCTCTGCCTTCCGAGTGCTGGGATTAAAGGCGTGCGCCACCATCGCCCAGCTATGCAAATATTTTTAAATAATTTATTTAAATTTATT